AAATTTGAAAAAATAAGTGTACCTGCGCTTTAAATCGATATAAAAAAATATTATATGAATAATAAGTACCGTAGCGTTTATCTTGAAAGCAGCAAAATAAAGCAATAACCCTTATTGCCCAGAGTAGAACAAGAACAGCTGCAATCGTTGTTGATAATATTGCTACTTTGCGATTCTGTTTGACTTTCAATGAGGTCAATATAAGCCACAATGAGTACGTCGAAAATCAGTGGAAAACTATATTAAGAACGTATAAGAACGCTTCAGTTAAGAGTATTCGACTGGAGCATATCCTCCACATACTTTTTGTTTTTCATGACCTTAACTATATATTGTTCGCTCGAACAAATATATAAAGATTGTCTTTTATTTTTGACACTGTAAAGCATTTAACAAACTTTATTACCGTTACAAATTGATATTTTAACAGTTTCTTTTTTTAAATAAAATATACAGAAAAGATACTTGCATACATAAAACATTTATTTTCTCCAGTTTCAAGGTATAAGCAAATATAAACGACTGGTATTTTGTAATAATAATATATGACTGATTTTTATTCGCCGCTCGAGAAAGTTCATCAGCATGGCACCGCCCAATATTGGCCTTGTACCTACTGATGCATGTTGCTGTTGTTATTGTTGTTTGCTGTCAGTCAAGCAGTCACTGGGCGAACTCATGGCGTACACGAAATTCCGACTGCAACAAACGGAAATTGCATTTACACGCTTGCCTGCTACTGGCAACGCTATGCTCGACTGTTCCTGACCAGGGATTTTATTTTTTATTGCTTTTTTTCGTTTTTGGATTACAATGCCAGAGGCGTAAACAACTCACACGTATAAACACATATAGACACACATGCACACAGCCCAGAACAATCTCGGTATTAAACTCATCATCATCGCCACCAGCGTTGATAGCACTAATCACCTGTTAAGCAAACAACTCCAGTTCATAACTGTGAGGGCAATGTAAACATCAACGTGGTGAAAGCTGATTGCAAATTCTTATGGTAGATGACCGTCTTTAGAGTTTATCTTAGAGATGCACCTGAAATCACAGCATGAAGTTGCTATGTACAATATGTTTATACTATTTATATATTATTAAGGTTTTTAAACAACAAACTGTTAGGCAAAGCAAGGTAAACTCATATAATATAAAGCAAAGCCACACCCAATAATCCACTTATTCCATGCACATATTATATGAAGTAAATTCAAACTTACTTTCCTGATTCAAATGTTTTCATTAAAACAAATATAATAGCTGAAATTTGTTTTGTAATTTCGCCTTTTGATGTGGACTTTAAGAACAAAAAGATAACATTATCGAATGTTGCTCCTTTTGCTCTGTTTCCTTAACTGTGATTTCTGTAAGTATTTTCGATTTTACTCAACTCTAATTCAATCTTCCCAAGTTGATTGCCACACTACTTTGGTTGGCCTTCGGCCAAGCCGACAAATAAAACAAAATGAAGGCCAAACAAAAACAACAGAATAAACAAAAAACATGACACATTATGAAACTAAACTTGAAAATCTTGTAGGTGCAAAATATATATTTCCAAGCAGTGGGTAACCACAACAACAGCAAAGACAACACCCACATATGCACAAGATTAATCGACAAGGTATTTTAGAGTGCCAGTTACGGCATCCACATGCAAATAATTTGCGGCCTGAGCTGAGAGAGTAAACAAACCTAACAAGCCCAAGTTTGAGCATGAGTTGGAGTTATAGATAAAAATAAAGTTCCCCTAAACTTTTGCTCAAATCTGACACACTCATCAGGCTAGTCGGACGGGTACGGTCCGGGTATGGTCATAAAGGAAACACATAGCATACATCAAAGCGCCACCAAGCCGCAGGCGGTGCTGCCAGTGACAGATAAAGCGAGCAGCAGCTGTCGGTTTGTTTGATGGCAAAAGTTGAAAAGAAACTTCAATTACTTTTCACCTGGCAGCGACGAAAACAACACCGACAACAACAGCATTCACCTGAGAGAAAAAGAATTTTTTGCGTCACATGGCATTTATAATGGTAAAAATTAAAACCTCACATAGGTGGCTAAGTTGCTCAAGTATGAAGTGACCACTGAAAACACGAGCATCACAAAATCAACAAGTTAATAAATATTAAATTAACTCGTGTGTTTTTTATTCGATCAGTCTGAAATTTTATGGTGGCAAGTAATTTATTGTATTTCTGCTAAATCATGCATTGAGAATATTAGTTTCATCTAATATTGAATTAAATTCAATGCAAACTCTACTCGAACTTATGTTAATTATGTAACAAACATCATGAGTTTGCAATTAGAATCAGTTTAAATTGCAAGCCACTGAATTGCAAGCAAATCGAAAGCCAAAGCTAAAGTGCAAACTAAACAGCCTTAAAGTAACCTAATGCAGCTCTCTCGGCACTATTGAAAATGTATTACATGGCAATGGCGCCCAAATGGCGCTGCCATGGGTTTTCAGGAACTGTGTGGTAATTTAGGGATCGCAATCAATAACCAATGTATCCAAGCGACGTGAAAATGGTTGGCAACGATGTCAGCAAAAGGAAATTGAATTGCATTTAAAATGCATTTTCACTATTTTGTACGCTTACGCGGTGCTTAAGAGTGACAAGACGTATTTTCGGAAATATATCAGAGGATTATCGCTGCAAACGCGGCAGCCTTAAGAGCTTATATAGTTTGCCAAATATACAAAGTAACAGAAACACTGGACTATAAACATTTTAGTACGTTCTACTCTGTATGTATAGACAAAATAAACTATCTGTAATTACTACGAAAGACAACAAAAAAAAAAACATTTTAATGAAAAAAATCTCAAGAAATGTACGTAAATTCTTAGATATTTTCCAGCTGTTAAAAGTACACATTTTAATGTAGATTTTGCTATTTGGTACTCATATATATGTACATATCATATTTGAACAATAAACAAAAACTCAATTTATTTGCATTGTTTTTTACTTAGCCGACAAATGTAATCAACTTAACCTTTATTACATTGAAAGACGCTCATGATATGATGTAAACCGACTAGCCCCGAGGACACAGTCAACAAAGTTAACGCCAGTAAACCAACAGGAATCAGAGAGCCAGCTGGAAGGTTGAAGTGCAAACTGTAGCCAGCCAAGCAGAGCATAAAACTTTAAGCATTAAGAATACAACATTTCCTTTTTCTTTTTTTGATCTTGTGTAAGTTGGCCAAAGCTGCTTGTTATGCTTGAAGTTAGTTTGCCGGCACCAAAGATGTGCCTTTTTTTTATTTTGTGATAAATAAATGATAAATATTATGATCATTTCAAAATGATGGCTTAATATTTTAAAACGCATTGAGTATCGTAATATTTTTTGGTGAAACATATAATCTCTCAAATTAGATGCCAGTCCAACTGGGCACGCGTTCATCTCTAGCCGGAAGTGCATAGACTTGAGCTGTTGTTGCCACCGTAGAAGAACCCGGAACATTGGTGCATATTAAAAGTGCTGCAAGCGCACTTTGTGGCAGCCATAAGGCGACTTGATGCGATAATCGCTAGCTATTTTATGTAAATTGGTTTTTTGTTTGTTGGCTTTGTGTGGCCCAACAAAAGCGAATTGGGAGTGGCGTCTGACGTTAAGCTAATGTGAAACCGATAAGGTTACAACTTTAAGAAAACATTTGGCCACGTCAACATTCAATCACAGCTGGGATCCAACTCCGTCCAAATTATGCACATGATTGCGTTAATCAAGTTAAATTAGACTCAGTCAGTGGGGGAGCAGTTGAAGCGTTTCATTTATGATTTGGGCCGGGGCTCTAACCATGGCCGGTTTTTTTTCTGTAGCCTAATTGAAGTGTAAACAAACTGAAACAGCGTGACTCAATTTCTACTCTTTATAAGAAAAATGTACAAATTTAAACATAAAAATTTATAGACTGTTAAATATTTATTATTTATGTTCCATTTAGTTACTGCTCATATTAGTCTGTGAGTGGAAGGTAAATAAATTACCTAATTTAGCTGATAATACCAAATCACAGGAATAAAGAGCACATGAAAAATGTATAGCTATTTATTGACTAGACAAGTGGCTACCAATATCAGCACCAAGACCATGAGCGCTCATTAAATTGTTAATGCGGTTGGCTTTTGGGCTTTTGCGGGCTTTCATGCCCTTGTGCGTTCCTAAATCCTAAATCCTGACAGACAGCCTGTCACTCAACTAGGCCCGAAAATTGAAATCGAAATTTAAAATGTAATAAAGTAAATCTGAGAAATCACACGAATTCCGCAGAACAGATGTATGGCATGTATTACACATGTGTGTAAGCATGTGAGTGCTCCAGCGATTGTGGAAGCCAGCAAGCAATTTAATTATACGCGAAGTTGCCTGTTTTATGGCAGTTATGATATTTGACGCTGCTTCCGCTAACCGAGCGGAAACCGAAGACGACTGGCATGCAACCAGCTAACAGGTAAGCATTATCGAAGCATAATGAAGTTAAATTTGTTGCCTCGTGTATGAAGTCATCTCGCAGAGGATGACAAGCGGAAGAAAACGACAGCCTATTATTTCAGCTGAGTCGTTAGTCTGTATGTGCTCTTTGATTTTAGTTGTTTCCGTTTAATTAATGGTCATAAAGAAGAGTGTAATCGTCTCTAATTTTGTAGCAGTTGCTTGAAATAATGATTAATTTTAAGGGCGCATGCTGCTTTTCCCAAAGTTATTGTTTTTCGATGATTTCAAAAATATAAAACCTAATTTAAATATCCACATCTTAACGGATTTTGCTGTTATAAACATTACATATACTACCCTTATTCAAAAACGATCAACAATCGATAGACAAAAGCGATAGCAAATCAATCACGAGCATGAACTGGTTCAGTTCATACGATTAATCGAAGTGAATTGAGATGTTGGCTCATAGCGTTGCTTTTTTGCAGAAAAAAAGGAATCATGTAAAAATTTTGCTTTAATCGCAAATAATTATGTTTTTAGAACTCTAGAAGAGTGATTCTAACAATATGTCAGTAGAATAATATAAGAGAAGAGAGTATTCAGCAGCAAAATGAGCGGAAGCCATGCAAAAAACAATTCAGGTAAATTTCATCAACTGCTGACCAAAAATGCAAAAAGTTTATGTTCAATTTGTTGGTATGTGTTTCACACAGGCGGGTATGGAAGCCACACTGTGGTGGCGATACCCATACCCAGCATTGAGGAGAAGAACAAGCAAATGCAGCAAGAGACGATGATGGAGAAACTGCGAGCCAAGTACCGCAACAAGCCGAAGAGCTACGAGGATATCAAGAAATCGGTGCGTATGTACTTCATAGAGAAGCACTATCCGCTGGATCCGCTCTGCAAGGCAGCACTGCAGTCGGCATTGGACAAACTGCAGCACTACATTAAGGTTAGCTCGAGGCACGGACTCGTGGAACGCTTGGAGAGTCTTTCCCGGCAACTGGGCCTCAAGTTCATGGAGGATCAGCAGCTCTTGTTTATTTCGACGGACATGTTCTACGTGGAGATACTGCTGGATGCCAGCGGCAACCTCAACGATGTCAAGGTGCACCATGAATGCAAGATTGAGCAGCAATCCAATTCCAGCGCCAGTTCCCGCGAACTGCTCAACTGCCTCAAGGCGGGCGACTTTGCCGATTTCACAGTTCAACTGGAGGGACTCTCCTCCATTTACCAGCTAAACGCCGAGCCCAAAGTTAAGAAGAAGGCCTTTGTGGCACTGCAGGCCATGGAAACGGACATTTCCAACTTGTATCAGCAGCAACTGCAGAAACAGCAACAGCTAAGGGGAAACAGCGATAGCTACTACATCATGAACAACTCCTCGCTGGGTTTGGTCATGGAGCGACGTGGTGGGCATCCAATGAAGCTGACCTACTTCTGCCCACCACTCCAACTTATCGAAAAGAAGGTGAAGGCGGAGAAGCTGGCCACTGCAACTGCAAGTGGAACTGCGAGTAGAGACTTCAGCATTGAGCAGGTGATGAAGAGCCCCAACGGACTGAGTGCCACGCTCAATCTGGAGGGCTCCTCTGCGAACAAACTGCAAATACTTCCCATTGTCAGCTTCACCAGCGAGTCCGGTCTGCCATTGGAGCAGCCCAGCTATGCGCCGCTCACGCAGAACAACTCGATGCTGATGCCGGCCACCTATGTCTTGCGCCTCAACAAACCCATGCCTGTCTGCATTGAGTCTCTACGAGCCTTGGCTCTGCCGGGCCTTGGCTCCTTGGGTGTATCAGGCGAGGGAACTACTGTGATGAATCTGATTGTGCAGACTGCGTCGAGGCAGCTGATAAAGAGCACCCAGAAGGGTTTATATGTCAATCTGCCGAAGGAGACGCACTGCTACTTCTTCACGGACAACCGCCGACTGCAGGGCACGCTGATATCGACGCTGCCGTTCACGGAGCCTGCGCAGGTGCCCAGGATAATAGCGTTCCTCAAGAAGCAGGCGCTCTTCTGCACACTTCTCTCCAGCTGCGTCAGGGAGCAGCAGAAGCAATACAACGGTGAGTCCATCACATCCCAGAAATAGTACAGCAGATATTAATTAAATTTCACTCCAGACATGGACAGCACTGTTATTCTGGAGGTAACTGCTGTTTCACTCAGCCAGATCACTGTGGAGCTGCAGCATCCGTACGAGGAATCGCTGGCCACTGTCGATTTTCTGCTGGAGGACGGGCAGGCGACCTGCACCATTTACTGCCTGAGCAACGACTACGAAGCACTCTCCCAGAAGTTAACCAGGACAGTGCGCCAGGTGCTGTCTATACCCATGGTTATATACAAGTTGCTGAAGTGCTGGGACGAGGAGCATCAGCAGAAGCTGCATGGCGCCATTGTTCCAGGAGCAGGCTCGGGCGCAGGCAGTGGCACAGCGGGCGGTTTCAGCAGCACTGGAGGAGGTGGAGGGATGCACGGGACAAGCAACTTTGGACAGTTTGCCATGGAGACGGGTGGTGGCGAGGGCAGCAGTGGAGTTGGCGGCGGTTTCAATAGTGTCGGCAATCTCAAAATGGACTCCAAGGTTCGCTCCCTGGCAGATGCATTCGCTGCCTCCACCTCGGCGGCTGCGGCCATTGCGGGACTGATGAATCTGAAGCGTGAAACGGATCCACAGCTAGGCGAAGGCAACCTCCCAATCCTCAGCTCCTCCAGTTCTTCTGCATCCGCATCCAAGATCAGCGAGAATGAGATCGCCGACAAGTACAAGAATATTTGGAAGGACAAGACGCCCAACTTGAAGCACTGCGTCAGCATCACACCCATTGCCGGGGATGGTAAAGCGCCTCCCCAGCAGCAGGTGGATGTGCAGCGCACGGGCGGCATTGAGATCATTCCACTGAATGCGCCGGGCTCAGTTGTAGCCACTCCCAGCGCTGGTTCCCCAGCCACAACGATCACCATAACGCCCATCACTGGAGTTGGCAAGGAGCTCTCTAAGGATGCGAAGAAGTCGGTGTCGAGTGGAAGTGCCACCAAGCGACCCCATGAGAGCAGCTCCTCCTCATCCTCATCCTCGTCGAACTCAAACTCGAACTCGAGCAGCAGCAGTAGCAGCAGCAACTCCTCGAGCGACACGCAGAAGGAGAAGAAGCGTAAGAAGAAGCGAGATGACTCACCCATGGGTCCTCCCGAGAAGATATACTCTCGCCAGAATTCGCCAGCGGGTGGCGGAATATCTGACCCTGTGGCGGGGAGCGGCGTGGTGCGCAAGTTCTCATCGCCCTCAGCTTCATCTTCGTCGTCGCCCAAGCCGGGTGGAATGGGAAGTGGAGCTGGAGGTGGAGCTGCTCTGGGTCTTATGAGCGGGCAGCCAGCGCGTCCCAGTCCGAAGCACTCGCCTGTCTACAGCAGTCCCAAGCACAACAGCAGCAGCAACACTGCCTCGAACAGCCCCAAGTCGCCTTTCGGCACCCTTTCGCCCAAGCATGGATCTTCTGGCAAGCCGAGCATGTCCACTCTCAAGAGTGCAACGGCGGCCACCAGTCTCAGCCTCAGTCCCAAAGCTGAGAAGAGTCTCTCTGCCAGTGGAGGTGGAGGTGGTTCCAATTCAGTCCATCCTCTTCCTCTTGCATCTTCTGGCTCTGGCGCTAATCCCTCGATGATGCGACCCGTGCCGCCACTGGCTAGCACAATCAGTGGTATCACCAACCAGTTGTCGACTAGCTTCAAGAAGGACAAGTCCAACGCCAGCAGCTGCGCACCTGGCGCTCCGCCAGGAGTCGTTGCTGTTCCAGTGGCTGCCTTAAAGAATTCCCAGCAGCAACAACAACTGAAGTCATCTGTGGCCAGTTTATCGCATCTGGCTGCAGGTGGCAATCTGAGCAGCTATGTGGCTCCCACCGTGGCCGCCCTGGAGCTCAATGCCCTGCGCAAGGGATTGTCGGGTGCGGGAGTGGGACCGGGAATGGGCGCAGCTGCGGGAGCGGTAGGTGCGGTAAGTCCGTTTTCATTTTATGAGTAGCTCTCGTTGTGTGCCCACCTCCAACTCCACCTCCGCCTCCATCCCCAACCACAACTCCAACTGCACCTTTAACCCTCATTTTCTGGTTGATTCTCTGTTATTAATTGTAATACTTTATATTATCGCTGCTGTAGTTTTTGATTTATTTACTTTGTTTTGTTTGTAAATATATTTACAATTACCTAATTTCTAATTGCATCCGATTTATTTATTTTGTATCCTATTATTAATCCCTGTGATGGGTTCTATCGCTAATGTTGCCTCAGAGGATCCTCACTATTAATTTACACACACCTGCATGACCAATAGTAAACATATTCCCTACATACACTGTAACTTGGAATGGCGGTACTATCAGCTCAACTCAACAGCCAGCAGAAGAACGTATTAGATTGTAATGCTAGACGATCTGATTATTGCACTTATATAGAATATATAGTATTCAGCTGATTTTTTATGTTTATTTACTATCTGAGAACTGACTTCTTTCCTTGCACTCCTTATTCAGTATAGTAGTATGTATTTTTGACCCACTGATAAACATTATACTAACGGGTTACCTTTCTCTCTCTCGATCTCGATCTCCTTGCTCTCGCTCTCGCTCTCTCTTGAACACTCACTGATCTGTTTGCATGATGCGGGAATGAATGATTAACCCACAATCGACTTGTGCTGTTTTTTCACACGTTCCTCGTTTGATTGCTTTAATTGCTTTCTCGGTTCGATTCTCATTTGTTTGTCTCCACGCACACACACACACCGCAACCCACACACACACGCACACACCACGCGCTTCCTTTGTCAGGTTAGTTTGATGACGTCGACGGCAGCTTCAACGGCAACCATCCAAACAACAACCACAGCCTCACTCTCAAGCACAACAACGGCAGTGGATTCATCGGACACAGCAGCAACAACAACAGCAGCAGCAGCAGCAGCAGTGGAAGCGGGAGTGGGATTGGGAGTGGGAGCAGCCATAGCACCAGTAGCACCAATAGCAACAACACAAATAGCAACACAGCAACAGCAGGCAGCGGGGCCACATAGTAGCGACAACTGCAGCCCCAGCTCTGCCAGCAACAGCAACAGTATAATTTCTGGAGCAGCTTCAGGCCTGTCCACTGGGTACATGGTGAAACCGAGCAGCCAGGAGGGCCTCAAGCTGACTATCAATAAGACAGGCAGTGGCAAGAGGGAAAGCAAGGGCGGAACTACTGCCTCATCCTCATCCACATCGTCGTCAGCGTCTTCCTCCACTGGTGTTAAGAAGCAGCACACGGGATTGAAGCCGGGCGTCAACAGCGGACCAGCCTCTAAGAAGGCACCTTCAGCAGCTGCTGGATCCAGCAAACACCTCTTCCAAAAGGCAAACTCTTCTGGCAACCTGAGCAGCAAGCTAAGCGGCTCCAGTACTTCCACTTCTGGCGGGGGTTTGCCCCTGACGAAGAGCAACAGTACCAACTCGTTCCAGGAGCAGAGTGTGCCCAGGCGACGGCCCAGCATGGGTAACAGCAGTGGAGGCGGAGTGCAGCGCAAGGCACAATTAACGCCTTCTGCATCTGCATCTGGATCTGGAGCCGGAGTTGGAATTGGATCGGGAATGGGCGCAGGTAGAATGTCACCAGCAGCGATGAGCGGGTCGATGTCACAGCCGCCGCCGCGTTTCGATCACCGCACGGACATGATGACCATTCTGCAATACGCCTCGCCCACCATGGCAGCCAGCATGGAGGGCTTCATCAAGGGACTACACAACAAGTTTCAGATACCCAAATTGTCTCAGCGACAAAGTGGCAACAGCAGCAGCAGCAGCACAGTTGGACACAGTCTGACCAATACAGATCAGGTGCAATCGGAATCAGCTGCCGCCTCCTCCTCGATGGAACAGCAGCAGATGAGTGCTTTGGCATCTAGTCTAACAGGTACTATGCCTAGTGGCAGCAGTGGAGTGCTTAAGCTATCGCCAGTTGCTTCTTCTGGATCTGCAGCAAACGCAAACGATTTGCTGCTCAGCCTGAACAGCAGTGGATCAATAGGTGATGGCATCGACGAGGAGCTGCTCGCCAGTTTGGCAGGCGAATGACAACTCGAACTGCATCTCCAACTATTCTTAATTGCAATCCTAAGTTAGTTGATACCTTTGGCTACTGTCTGACAATGAGTTGTTATTGTTACTCATGCATTATAAATTCGTTAAGATATACGTAGATATACATTAACATAAGATCGTAATATATATCCATTAGTGTTTGTATAGAACCGCTGCCTTAAATTAAAGAAACAATAATTTGCGCATTTATGTTTAGTCGCACATTTCGAATTGTGATAATCGCAGTCGAGAAATCGATGCAGTGGATCGATCAATAAATCGATTTTTCCACACTTATGTATTTTGCGCATGCTAAGCTCTGGTCACACTAGAACGCGATAAGAGCGCAACATGTGTCAGTTTTCTCTTAGTTGAGAAACTGGAGTTGTTGTGGGAGGGTAATTTTCTAAACGCTGAGTAGGTGAAAGAAGTAAATGGAAATGTCCAGCGATTACGAGAGCTACAAATCGCCGCTGAGCTCACGCTATGCCAGCAAGGAGATGCAGTTTCTGTTCAGTGACCAGAACAAGTTCTCCACCTGGCGTCAGCTGTGGGTCTGGCTAGCGAAGGCGGAGCACACCCTTGGCTTGGACATAACCGAGGAGCAGATAGCCCAAATGGAGCTGCACATCAAGGACATTGACTTTGTGGCGGCGGCTGCCGAAGAGCGACTGACTAGGCACGATGTCATGGCGCACGTGCATGTCTTTGCCAAGCAGTGCCCGGCGGCGGCACCAGTGATTCACCTGGGTGCCACCTCGTGTTATGTGGGCGACAATACCGATCTCATTGTGCTGCGTGATGCACTGCAGCTGCTGCTGCCGCGCGTGGCGAGCGTAGTGCGTCAGCTGAAGGAGTTCGCCGAGATGTACAAGGCGCTCCCGACGCTGGGATTCACGCATCTGCAGCCAGCGCAGCTGACCACAGTGGGCAAGCGGACCTGCTTGTGGATGCAGGATCTGCTGATGGACGAGCGTGCGCTGCGTCGCTGCCTGGAGGACTTGCGCTTCCGCGGCGTCAAGGGAACTACGGGTACACAGGCCTCGTTTCTAGAGCTCTTCAATGGCGACGGGCAGAAGGTGAAGCAGCTGGACACGCTGGTCACCCAACTGGCTGGATTCAGCAAGCCCTACGCTGTCACCGGCCAGACCTATACGCGCAAGGTGGACGTCGAGGTAATGGCTGCACTGGCCAGCCTGGGCTGCACTATTCACAAAATGTGCACTGACCTACGCATTCTCGCCTCGCGCAAGGAGCTGGAGGAGCCCTTCGAGAGCACCCAGATTGGCTCGTCGGCGATGGCGTACAAGCGCAATCCAATGCGCTCGGAACGCTGCTGCGCCCTGGCCCGTCATTTGATCACGCTGTTCAGCAATGCGGCGAATACGCATGCCACGCAGTGGATGGAACGCACTCTGGATGACTCGGCGAACAGGCGACTGACGCTGTCGGAGGGATTCCTGGCTGCGGATGCGGTTCTGCTCACGCTGCTGAACATCTCTCAGGGACTGGTCGTCTATCCGCGAGTCATTGAGCGACATATTGCCCAGGAACTGCCCTTTATGTCCACGGAGAACATTATCATGGCCATGGTTAAAGCTGGCGGAGATCGTCAGGTGTGTCACGAGAAGATTCGCGTTCTATCCCAGGAAGCTGGCGCCCAGGTCAAACAGTATGGCAAGGACAACGATTTGGTGGATCGTGTCCGCAACGACTCCTACTTTGCACCCATCCTCGACAAGCTGGACCACATTCTGGACGCGAGCACCTTCACTGGTCGTGCTAGCGAGCAGGTGGACGAGTTCCTTGCCGAGGAAGTTCAGCCACTGCTGGCCCGCTACACTGACGTCCTCAAGAGCGTCCAGAACGTGCAACTAAATATCTAATCAGCACTCGTTTGTTGTTTCCACACTTTGTCATCCGATTAGCTCGAAGCAATCAAATACATTTACATACCTTGTTATGACGTAGCTCCTTATTTACACCCAGTGCTTATCACTACAGCATCCAATAAGGTCGAGTTCCTTGAACTGAGCCCCAATGCAATTCAAACTTGTTTTGCGTGCTTTTGACGTATTCATGTGTTGTGGCTATGGCTGTGAGCAGAAAACCACAATCTTCTAGCAGTAAACCACACAGATAAGATTACCATCCCATTTGAATGTAAATAATTTATTTTTTATTTAAATTAAGGCAGCAACTTGTTAAGCGTATGAATACATGTCATCATGTACGAGATACTTACATCTATCTATCAGGATCTATTTACTATTGACATACAACAAACAACAAGTGGGTGCAGTCAAAGGCTAACTAAGGATTGCAGTGAGATGCAGTTCGAGATGTCATTCGCCTGCCAAACTGGCGAGCAGCTCCTCGTCGATGCCATCATCTATTGATCCACTGCTGTTCAGGCTGAGCAGCAAATCGTTTGCGTTTGCTGCAGATCCAGAAGAAGAAGCAACTGACGATGGCTTCGGCACTCCACTGCTGCCACTGGGAGTAGTACCTGTTAGACTAGATGCCAAAGCACTCATCTGCATCTGTTCACCTGAGGAGGTGTGCGATTGCACCTGATCTGTATTGGTCAGACTGTGTCCAACTGTGTTGCTGCTGCTGCTGTTGCCACTTTGTCGCTGAGACAATTTGGGTATCTGAAACTTGTTGTGCAGTCCCTTGATGAAGCCCTCCATGCTGGCTGCCATGGTGGGCGAGGCGTACTGCAGAATGGTCATCATGTCCGTGTCGTGATCGAAACGCGGCGGCGGCTGTGACATCGACCCGCTCATCGCTGCTGGTGACATTCTACCTGCACCCATTCCCGATCCAATTCCAACTCCGGCTCCAGATCCAGATGCAGATGCAGAAGGCGTTAATTGTGCCTTGCGCTGCACTCCGCCTCCACTGCTGTTACCCATGCTGGGCCGTCGCCTGGGCACACTCTGCTCCTGGAACGAATTGGTGCTGTTGCTCTTCGTCAGGGGCAAACCCCCGCCAGAAGTGGAAGTACTGGAGCCGCTTAGCTTGCTGCTCAGGTTGCCAGAAGAGTTTGCCTTTTGGAAGAGGTGTTTGCTGGATCCAGCAGCTGCTGTAGGTGCCTTCTTAGAGGCTGGTCCGCTGTTGACGCCCGGCTTCAATCCCGTGTGCTGCTTCTTAACACCAGTGGAGGAAGACGCTGACGACGATGTGGATGAGGATGAGGAAGTAGTTCCGCCCTTGCTTTCCCTCTTGCCACTGCCTGTCTTATTGATAGTCAGCTTGAGGCCCTCCTGGCTGCTCGGTTTCACCATGTACCCAGTGGACAGGCCTGAAGCTGCTCCAGAAATTATACTGTTGCTGTTGCTGGCAGAGCTGGAGCTGCAGTTGTCGCTACTATGTGGCCCCGCTGCCTGCTGTTGCTGTGTTGCTATTTGTGTTGTTGCTATTGGCGCTACTGGTGCTATGGCTGCTCCCACTCCCAATCCCACTCCCGCTTCCACTGCTGCTGCTGCTGTTGTTGCTGATGAATCCACTGCCGTTGTTGTGCTTGAGAGTGATGCTGTGGTTGTTGTTTGGATGGTTGCCGTTGAAGCTGCCGTCGACGTCATCAAACTAACCTGACAAAGGAAGCGCGTGGTGTGTGCGTGTGTGTGTGGGTTGAGGTGTGTGTGTGTGCGTGGAGACAAACAAATGAGAATCGAACCGAGAAAGCAATTAAAGCAATCAAACGAGGAACGTGTGAAAAAACAGCACAAGTGTCGATTGTGGGTTAATCATTCATTCCCGCATCATGCAAACAGATCAGTGAGTGTTCAAGAGAGAGCGAGAGCGAGAGCAAGGAGATCGAGATCGAGAGAGAGAAAGGTAACCCGTTAGTATAATGTTTATCAGTGGGTCAAAAATACATACTACTATACTGAATAAGGAGTGCAAGGAAAGAAGTCAGTTCTCAGATAGTAAATAAACATAAAAAATCAGCTGAATACTATATATTCTATATAAGTGCAATAATCAGATCGTCTAGCATTACAATCTAATACGTTCTTCTGCTGGCTGTTGAGTTGAGCTGATAGTACCGCCATTCCAAGTTACAGTGTATGTAGGGAATATGTTTACTATTGGTCATGCAGGTGTGTGTAAATTAATAGTGAGGATCCTCTGAGGCAACATTAGCGATAGAACCCATCACAGGGATTATTAATAGGATACCAAATAAATAAATCGGATGCAATTAGAAATTAGGTAATTGTAAATATATTTACAAACAAAACAAAGTAAATAAATCAAAAACTACAGCAGCGATAATATAAAGTATTACAATTAATAACAGAGAATCAACCAGAAAATGAGGGTTAAAGGTGCAGTTGGAGTTGTGGTTGGGGATGGAGGCGGAGGTGGAGTTGGAGGTGGGCACACAACGAGAGCTACTCATAAAATGAAAACGGACTTACCGCACCTACCGCTCCCGCAGCTGCGCCCATTCCCGGTCCCACTCCCGCACCCGACAATCCCTTGCGCAGGGCATTGAGCTCCAGGGCGGCCACGGTGGGAGCCACATAGCTGCTCAGATTGCCACCTGCAGCCAGATGCGATAAACTGGCCACAGATGACTTCAGTTGTTGTTGCTGCTGGGAATTCTTTAAGGCAGCCACTGGAACAGCAACGACTCCTGGCGGAGCGCCAGGTGCGCAGCTGCTGGCGTTGGGCTTGTCCTTCTTGAAGCTAGTCGACAACTGGTTGGTGATACCACTGATTGTGCTAGCCAGTGGCGGCACGGGTCGCATCATCGAGGGATTAGCGCCAGAGCCAGAGGATGCAAGAGGAAGAGGATGGGCTGAATTGGAACCACCTCCACCTCCACTGGCAGAGAGACTCTTCTCAGCTTTGGGACTGAGGCTGAGACTGGTGGCCGCCGTTGCACTCTTGAGAGTGGACATGCTCGGCTTGCCAGAAGATCCATGCTTGGGCGAAAGGGTGCCGAAAGGCGACTTGGGGCTGTTCGAGGCAGTGTTGCTGGTGCTGTTGTGCTTGGGACTGCTGTAGACAGGCGAGTGCTTCGGACTGGGACGCGCTGGCTGCCCGCTCATAAGACCCAGAGCAGCTCCACCTCCAGCTCCACTTCCCACACCACCCGCCTTGGGCGACGAAGATGAAGCTGAGGGCGATGAGAACTTGCGCACCACGCCGCTCCCCGCCACAGGGTCAGATATTCCGCCACCCGCTGGCGAATTCTGGCGAGAGTATATCTTCTCGGGAGGACCCATGGGTGAGTCATCTCGCTTCTTCTTACGCTTCTTCTCCTTCTGCGTGTCGCTCGAGGAGTTGCTGCTGCTACTGCTGCTGCTCGAGTTCGAGTTTGAGTTCGACGAGGATGAGGATGAGGAGCTGCTCTCATGGGGTCGCTTGGTGGCACTTCCACTCGACACCGACTTCTTCGCATCCTTAGAGAGCTCCTTGCCAACTCCAGTGATGGGCGTTATGGTGATCGTTGTGGCTGGGGAACCAGCGCTGGGAGTGGCTACAACTGAGCCCGGCGCATTCAGTGGAATGATCTCAATGCCGCCCGTGCGCTGCACATCCACCTGCTGCTGGGGAGGCGCTTTACCATCCCCGGCAATGGGTGTGATGCTGACGCAGTGCTTCAAGTTGGGCGTCTTGTCCTTCCAAATATTCTTGTACTTGTCGGCAATCTCATTCTCGCTGGCCTTGGATGCGGATGCAGAAGAACTGGAGGAGCTGAGGATTGGGATGTTGCCTTCGCCTAGCTGTGGATCCGTTTCACGCTTCAGATTCATCAGTCCCGCAATGGCCGCAGCCGCCGAGGTGGAGGCAGCGAATGCATCTGCCAGGGAGCGAACCTTGGAGTCCATTTTGAGATTGCCGACACTATTGAAACCGCCGCCAACTCCACTGCTGCCCTCGCCACCACCCGTCTCCATGGCAAACTGTCCAAAGTTGCTTGTCCCGTGCATCCCTCCACCTCCTCCAGTGCTGCTGAAACCGCCCGCTGTGCCACTGCCTGCGCCCGAGCCTGCTCCTGGAACAATGGCGCCATGCAGCTTCTGCTGATGCTCCTCGTCCCAGCACTTCAGCAACTTGTATATAACCATGGGTATAGACAGCACCTGGCGCACTGTCCTGGTTAACTTCTGGGAGAGTGCTTCGTAGTCGTTGCTCAGGCAGTAAATGGTGCAGGTCGCCTGCCCGTCCTCCAGCAGAAAATCGACAGTGGCCAGCGACTCCTCGTACGGATGCTGCAGCTCCACCGTGATCTGGCTGAGTGAAACAGCAGTTACCTCCAGAATAACAGTGCTGTCCATGTCTGGAGTGGAATTTAATTAATATCTGCTATACTATTTCTGGAATGTGATGGACTCACCGTTGTATTGCTTCTGCTGCTCCCTGACGCAGCTGGAGAGAAGTGTGCAGAAGAGCGCCTGCTTCTTCAGGAACGCTATTATCCTGGGCACCTGCGCAGGCTCCGTGAACGGCAGCGTCGATATCAGCGTGCCCTGCAGTCGGCGGTTGTCCGTGAAGAAGTAGCAGTGCGTCTCCTTCGGCAGATTGACATATAAACCCTTCTGGGTGCTCTTTATCAGCTGCCTCGACGCAGTTTGCACAATCAGATTCATCACAGTAGTTCCCTCGCCTGATACACCCAAGGAGCCAAGGCCCGGCAGAGCCAAGGCTCGTAGAGATTCAATGCAGACGGGCATGGGTTTGTTGAGGCGCAAGACATAGGTGGCCGGCATCAGCATCGAGTTGTTCTGCGTGAGCGGCGCATAGCTGGGCTGCTCCAATGGCAGACCGGACTCGCTGGTGAAGCTGACAATGGGAAGTATTTGCAGTTTGTTCGCAGAGGAGCCCTCCAGATTGAGCGTGGCACTCAGTCCGTTGGGGCTCTTCATCACCTGCTCAATGCTGAAGTCTCTACTCGCAGTTCCACTTGCAGTTGCAGTGGCCAGCTTCTCCCCCTTCACCTTCTTTTCGATAAGCTGGAGTGGTGGGCAGAAGTAGGTCAGCTTCATTGGATGCCCACCACGTCGCTCCATGACCAAACCCAGCGGGGAGTTGTTCATGATGTAGTAGCTATCGCTGTTTCCCCTTAGCTGTTGCTGTTTCTGCAGTTGCTGCTGATACAAGTTGGAAATGTCCGTTTCCATGGCCTGCAGTGCCACAAAGGCCTTCTTCTTAACTTTGGGCTCGGCGTTTAGCTGGTAAATGGAGGAGAGTCCCTCCAGTTGAACTGTGAAATCGGCAAAGTCGCCCGCCTTGAGGCAGTTGAGCAGTTCGCGGGAACTGGCGCTGGAATTGGATTGCTGCTCAATCTTGCATTCATGGTGCACCTTGACATCGTTGAGGTTGCCGCTGGCATCCAGCAGTATCTCCACGTAGAACATGTCCGTCGAAATAAACAAGAGCTGCTGATCCTCCATGAACTTGAGGCCCAGTTGCCGGGACAGACTCTCCAAGCGTTCCACGAGTCCGTGCCTCGAGCTAACCTTAATGTAGTGCTGCAGTTTGTCCAATGCCGACTGCAGTGCTGCCTTGCAGAGCGGATCCAGCGGATAGTGCTTCTCTATGAAGTACATACGCACCGATTTCTTGATATCCTCGTAGCTCTTCGGCTTGTTGCGGTACTTGGCACGCAGTTTCTCCATCATCGTCTCTTGCTGCATTTGCTTGTTCTTCTCCTCAATGCTGGGTATGGGTATCGCCACCACAGTGTGGCTTCCATACCCGCCTGTGTGAAACACACCAACAAATTGAACATAAACTTTTTGCATTTTTGGTCAGCAGTTGATGAAATTTACCTGAATTGTTTTTTGCATGGCTTCCGCTCATTTTGCTGCTGAATACTCTCTTCTCTTATATTATTCAACTGACATATTGTTAGAATCACTCTTAGAGTTCTAAAAACATAATTAATTGCGTTGAAAGCAACTTTTGATTTCCACTAATATTTTCTCAGCAAACAACGCTATTTGGCAAAATTTGACATTCACCACAACTGATTCGTGCGAGCGGAACCAGTAGTTCGTATATTTTGGTATGTTATCGATAAGCACCGTGATTTTGCGCATTCAATTATTCTGTCGTAGTTCTGATCCGCTCATCTCTATTGTCTACAGCCGTTTGAAGAAATACACAGCGTAAACACAGCGATTCCATTTAAAAATGACATCAATTGCCGGCGGACATGGGGAAACAAATCCCAATAGCTCTTGGTTGAGTGCCCGCGGCTTCTGGCTTGCTTATTTTCTTGGACTGCTATTTGTTCACTTGCTGCTGTTATCAGTTCCCTTTGTGACGATACCTGTTGCCTGGACTGTAACAAATTTGCTGCATAACGCAGTGAGTACTGATAATCAATACCCAATTCATATTTGTCACTGTATTGCTCAATGTGTCTGTCAGGTACATCTGTACTTTCTGCACATCATTAAAGGTGCTCCCTGGCTGAGCATCGAGAATGACGCAAGCCGGCAATGGACCCACTGGGAGCAAATAGATGACGGCGTTCAAATGACGCCAACTCGCAAGTTTTTAACCGCTGTTCCAATCGTACTGTGAGTCTGCAATTATGCACATTTATCATAATATACCATGTTTAAGCATTTGTTTCTTACAGCTTCCTCTTAACTTGTCTATACACACGCAATAGCACGGAACATTTCATTGCCAATTTTATATCGCTGGTTGTGGTCACATTGCCAAAGCTGCCCCAATTCCACGGCGTTCGATTGTTTAACATAAATAAGTACTAACCAGTTAATGTGCTTGCGGATTGGACAGAGCGGCTTATCATTGAATGAGCCTATTGTATATACTATTTATATGTAGATAATAGACTGAGCAGATTACTGGCTTTTTAATTGTTCTTTGAATCGTGTAAATATACTTCTGTATACGGCGCCGTTGTTGGCATATATAATATATTCAACTGTGTCAGTTTCTGTAACACGCACACATTCTTTCATTGAGAAAGGGGGTGTAACCAATGAGATGAGAATTATATCAGTATGTGTTATCTCTTAAGTTCTCATAAGTTTTCCCTCTCAGCTCAATTGATGTAGTTTTTCTAGAGTGCGCAATTGAGTTACCTGTGTTGCCCGGCACCACTTGTACACACATACATCAATTGATGTGCATTTGTATGCGATATCAGCAACAATCAGCTCTACAATAATAAAAGAATGCATTGAAACTGCAAAATGCATCAGTTGAATTAGCACTGTTCATCTATCTGTCGCCCTTCTGTGACTTTGCAGCAAAAAGCTCGCGACCTTTGCAATTTTCAAGTACAATCGAAAGAAGTGGGTCAGACTGCCATGCAGTAATTGTTAAATTATTATTATTTGAGTAAAAAACCTAGAAAATTTGCAGTTAAACCAGCATCGGGATGTCTATCAAAATCGAGGAGGAAATCTTTGGTCTGGCCAAGAATCCGTTTACCAATGTACCAGAAATGGTGCGTCGCTTCACAATGATTAACAAGAATCAGATGTCCGTTTCGGTTATTCAGTTGGGCGCCATTATACAGAGCATATGTATGCCGGATGCTTATCAGAAGATTGAGGATGTATGTCTCGGTTTTGAGGACATTGCCAGCTATGTCAATACGAAAGCAGCCTACATCGGCGGCACCTTGGGACGTGTGGCGAACCGTGTAGCCAATGGCGAGTATGTCGTCGGTGAAACAAAATATGCGCTGACCAAGAATTTCCAGAACGCATATCAGCTGCATGGTGGCTTCGTTGGTTTCGATAGTGTTATTTGGGAGGTGGTGCGCACTTCAGATTTGGGTATTACATTCAAGCATGTGTCACCCGACGGCCACGAGGGTTATCCTGGCCAGCTAACAGCAACGATAACCTACTGGCTGGACAATAGCAATCGTTTCGGTGTACGCTTTGAGGCGACAACGACAAAAACGACCCCGGTTAACTTATCGAATCACGCGTACTTCAACTTGGCTGGTCACGCTTCTGGTCCCAAGGGACTCGCCGAGCATAGAGTGGAGATAATGTCCTCCAAGGTTGTTGATACGGATAACCATCAAATTCCAACTGGCAACTTTTTAGATGTAAACGACACAGTCTACGATATGCGGATACCAGTTCTACTGGGTGATCGCCTCAAGCAATTCGATAATCGTTTGATTAAAGGCTACGACAATTGCTTTGTGGTCAACGAGAACAAAGATACGGGCATTAATCTGGTGGCCAAACTGTTGCATCCGCCCAGCGGACGTTCCATGGAAATCTATTCCAATCAGCCGGGTCTGCAATTTTACACGGCCAACAATTTGCCGGACGAGGAGAAAGGTGATACGCCAATGATTGGAAAGGACTGCACACACTATCATAAGCATGGCTCATTCTGTGTCGAAACTGAAAAGTTTCCCGATTCCATGAATCATCCAGACTTTCCATCAATCTTTCTCAATCCGGGCGAGAAATACTTGCATGAGGTCATTTATAAATTTGATGTAGAAGAGTCATGGAAATGCTGTTGTAACAACAAATAAATAAATAAAACTGCATATTTTCTATATATTACGAAAAATTAAAATTGTAAAAAAAAAACAAAGCCATCAAATATCTAATTGATAATAAACTAAATCAGAGTAGCCATAATACATAATTGATTCTCTCGCATTTTCAAAACACTTACTCTCAGTGCTAGGCATTCAATATTCATTTCATTGTCTAAGATGTCATTCGACCAAAAGGAAGTCTTCAATCTGATGTACAAACTGGCACGTCTAACGGTGGGGGACACCCGACTCGAATACGATGACATTGGTGCAGTGAATATCCCATTGGATCGCATTTTTGGACCAACCACAATGCGTTCTGTTATGAATATACCCATTGGTGGCATGGAGGAGCGCATTCCGGTAAGTAGTAGTGGATGGTTCAGCCAAACAGTTTAGTATCACCACCTCTGTTTCAATAGCGACCTATCATAATTGCGATGGGCATATTGAAGAAAGCTGGCGCCGAAGTCAACAAGGAATTCGGTTTGGACTCTTGCATCTCTGGCGCGATTTCAAGTGCTGCTGATGATGTCATCTCAGGCAAGTTGTACGATGAGAATCACTTTCCTTTGACCATCTGGCAGACGGGAGCCGGCAACCAGACCAATGTGAATGTCAATGAGGTGATTGGCAATCGTGCCATTGAAATTATGGGCGGTCAGCTGGGCAGCAATTATCCGGTGGATCCCAATCTCCATGTCAATATGTCGCAGAACCCCAATGATTGCTTCGCCTCAGCTACAAATATAACTGTTGCAATGCAGTTAAAGGAGAAGCTATTTCCATCACTCAGACTGATAATTGACGCCCTGGAGAAGAAGGAGATTCTGTGGAAGAATGTCATAAAGGTCGGTCGCGCCCACCTGATGGATGAAGTGCCGTTGACACTGGGTCAGGAGTTCAGTGGCTACAAACAAATGATGATCAACTGCCAGACCAGACTCTATTCCTCGATGGAGCGTTTGTATCAGCTGTCTCTGGGTGCCGCCACACTGTGTGAAACACCAAATTGTCAACCGGACTTTGGGTATCAGTGCGTCAAAGAAATTGAGGTAATCACAGGTCTGCCATTTGTTTCTGCACCAAACATGCATGAAGCGCTGGGTGCACGGGACTCCTTGATCGAGGTGCACGGTGAGCTCAACTGCATTGCCGTGAGTACCATGAAGATTGCCAATGATATTCGCTTCTTGGGCTCCGGGCCACGTTGTGGCCTGGGCGAGCTCATCTTACCGTCAAATGAGCCGGGCAGCTCAATAATGCCGGGCAAAGTGAATCCCACCCAATGTGAGGCCCTAACAATGATTTGTGCCCAGGTCATGGGTAACCAGGTGGCCGTCACCGTCGGTGGTTTCAATGGCCACTTTGAGCTCAATTCTTTTATGCCGCTCATCGCCTCGAATGTGCTGCGCTCCATAGAACTGTTAAGCGATGGCTTGCAGGCATTTGTGGCCAATTGCCTGGAAGGTGCTAAGCCAAATTCGAACAAAATTGATAAGTTTTTGAAAAATTCCCTTATGCTGGCAACTGCACTCAATCCTTATATTGGCTATAATAAGACGGTACAACTTGCCACGGCGGCTCTTCAAAATGGAACCACTCTGAAGCAGGAGGCCTTAAAAATTGGCATTTCAGAGTTTGAGTTTGAATCGTGGGTGCGACCGTCCGAAATGCTGGGACCCAATGAAACAAAAAGCGAATAAAGTTCGACTTATGTATAAAATTATTTTGTCAATATATATGTATGTTGCTAACAAAGCAATCGTTCCAAGCCAAGCAGGCAGTTACCTAAAAAATCATAATTATATTTCGGGTCTCGTTCACAAATACTAATAATATATAAATAGTTATACATTTTTATTGGTGTACAAATCGCATAATGAAAAAGATAAGCGTCCAGCCCTCAGCTAAGATATCTACGCGCATTGAGAGGGACACACTTGGACAAGTGGAGGTGCCCGGGGATCGGTACTATGGCGCCCAGACAATGCGGTGTGTCCTCAACTTTCCCATTGGCGGCATGGATGAACGCATGCCGGTAACTGAATGTTTCCATTTTTGTTTTTGACTCACACTTTAATCCTTTTAACCATACACAGAAGTCCGTTATACAGGCGATGGGCATTGTGAAGAAGGCCGCCGCTGAGGTTAACGTCGAGTTCGGCCTGGATAGTAAGATTAGTACAGCGATTTCGAGTGCCTGCGATGAGGTGATTAGTGGCAAACTCTATGATGAGGGTCATTTTCCGTTGCCCATATGGCAAACGGGATCGGGCACACAGACCAATATGAATGTCAACGAGGTGATTGGCAATCGTTGCATTGAAATGCTCGGTGGCGAACTGGGTTCCAATAATCCAGTGCATCCCAATGATCATGTGAACAAATCACAGAGCTCTAATGACACTTTTCCAACGGCCATACACATCGCTGTGGGCATTGAGCTGGTTAAGAGCCTGTTGCCAGCTTTGACCCAGCTGCGTGATGCACTTCATAAAAAGGCAATCGAGTGGAAGAACATTATCAAAATTGGACGCAGCCATACACAAGACGCAGTGCCAATGACATTAGGTCAAGAGTTTAGCGGCTATACACAACAGCTAACTAATGGTCTAGAGAGGATTAATGCTGTCCTCCCGCATGTCTACCAGGTGGCACTGGGTGGCACTGCCGTCGGCACCGGTTTGAATACCCGCAAGGGTTTTGCCGAGAAGGCCGCTAATCGCGTTGCCCAACTGACATCGTTGCCATTTGTTAGCGCACCCAACTTTTTTGAGGCCTTAGGCGCTAGAGATGCTATGGTGGAGGTGCATGGTGCATTGAATACCATCGCTGTCAGCCTCATGAAGATTGCCAATGATATTCGCTTCTTGGGTTCCGGACCACGTTGTGGCCTGGGCGAGCTCATCTTGCCGTCAAATGAGCCGGGCAGCTCAATAATGCCGGGCAAAGTGAATCCCACACAATGCGAGGCTTTGACAATGATTTGTGCTCAGGTGATGGGCAATCATGTGGCTGTGTCTGTTGGTGGTTCCAATGGACACTTTGAACTTAATACATTCAAGCCTCTGATCTTGTCCAATGTTCTACGTTCGATAAAACTGCTGAGTAAGTTGAGATTCGAGTTCAGATATGCATGACAGACTTAATCCTTATGTATGTGATGCAGCTGATGGATGCAACTCTTTTGCCAAGAACTGCGTTGATGGCATTAAGGCAAACCAGGATCACATAGCCAAGATATTGAACGAGTCTCTGATGCTTGTGACAGCACTTAATCCACATATTGGCTATGATAAGGCAGCTGAGATCGCCAAGAGTGCGCATGAGAATGGCACCACCCTGAAGGAGGAGGCCATCAAGGCTGGTATCTTGGAGAAGGATTTTGACGACTGGGTGCGCCCCGAAAATATGCTTGGTCCCAACTAGAGAGTTTTGTGCTTACAATTAATAAATTTAAATGAATAAATCGTTATATTGTGCAAATACTTGTTAATTTTAATGATTCGTATTTTATGGGCAATGATTTTGAATTTTTATTTCAGACATTGCTATTAGTTATTTTAACCTAGTTTTTCTGATAGGCAGATCAGTAGTTGTGTACAGTAGGCTTTTAAACATCGGGTAAGCTGTGTTTAATTTGTAAACATTTATTAAATCGAAAAATTTGATTTTGATTCATGATATTCCAAATTTAAGTTTAGCAAACATTTTAGGCTAAAGATGGTACGCGTAATAGAAGACGTTTTTGGTATTGCTGTCAATCCGTTGACACAGAAAACGGAGCATGTGCGTCGCTTTACATTAAGCACAGAGAAGGACATGTCTGTGGCAATATTGACACTGGGTGCCATAATACAAAGCGTGAAGGTGCCCGACTTTAATGGCAAGCTCGCAGATGTTTGTCTTGGCTATGACGATGTCGCCGGATACTATCGCAATCAGCAATCTTATTTTGGGGCCACCCTTGGCCGCGTGGCAAATCGTGTTGCCCATGGCCACTTCAAATTGTGTGGCAAGGATGTTAGTATTACCCGTAACCTGAAGGACAGACACCACCTGCATGGAGGCTATGTGGGCTTCGATAGCGTCATCTGGGACGTGGTGGGCATCCACAAGGATGGCATAACTCTGCAGCACGTTTCACCCGATGGACACGAGGGTTATCCGGGCGAAGTGACTGTCAACATTAATTTTTCGCTGAATGAAGCGGGATGCTTTGGCATGCGAATCGAGGCGCGCGCCAAAGCTACTACCTGCATCAATATAAGCAACCATGTTTACTTTAATCTCGCTGGTCATGACACGGGCAGGGAAACGCTCTTCCAGCACATGGCAATGATCAAGGCTAATACGATTGTGGACACAGATCAGGAGCAGCTACCCACTGGCAAGCTAATGCCTGTGCGTAATACACCCTATGATTTCAGCACTTTAACTAACTTGGGCAAGCGGCTGAACCAAGTCTATCGTTGCCCTATCTGTGGTTTTGATAACAATTACTGCGTCAACGTGGATCCAAATCAAGTGAAGCTAGTGGCCCGGGCAGTGCATCCTTGTACCGGTCGATTTATGGAAGTCCATACAAATCAGCCTGGATTGCAGTTCTATACTGCGAATAGCTTGCCCGATGAGGAGCGGGGCGACATTCCCAATATTGGGAAGGATGGTGCCCATTATGTAAAGCACGGGGCTTTCTCTATGCAGACTCAAAAGTATCCAGATTCGATGAATAATGCTTCCTTTCCGACTGTCATCATAAATCCCGGTCAATTGTACGATCATCAAGTGGTCTTCCGATTTGGGGCATGCCCAAAACGTATATAAAATTGCATTTGCATATATTATTATTTTCATATAAAATAAACTTGCAACTTTAAATGTTTCGAATTATTAACGGTCATTGTTTTCGATAAGTAAAAACTCAACAGTGTAACCAGGTATTAGTCGACAAAGCGATATATCGATTCGAATGACAAACTATCGAGTTGTATCGATTGCCCAAAACCCAGCGCAAACAAAAAAGGAAAGGTAGTTGTTGAATTAAACAATACTTGTGAGAGCTGCGTGTGCCACGTCTATAAAACAAACCAAAAAGAAAACCAAATAACCGACTTCAAGCTGTTTAATTTACCTGAAATTTATAAGCATACCACGGCAGACTTTAGCCGTCCAAGCAGCAGCGTTAGCAGGATGACCGTATGTTTTTGCACACACACACACAGACACTTAGATACATATCTGTATACAGATGTACTTAAGTACATGGCTGTGTTTCTGCTAGTAACAGCTACTAATTGGCATATCTATTCTACATAAATTCCATGTAGGTGCACGAATTCAAAGTGGAGATGACTTGTGGCGGCTGTGCCAGCGCCGTGGAACGGGTCTTGGGGAAATTGGGCGGTAAGTACGAAAATATGAGAATACTTATCATTGTTGGGCTTAGGTCTGGTATTAAACATATGTGCATGCTTAAGTACATATCAATACTGGAGAAGGTTCCACGGCCCCTTATCAGTCAGTCGTTATGTGTTTAGTTGCGGTTTCCAACTTTTAAGTCTATTTTTATATATTTTTTTTTGCATTTCATAGATAAGGTGGAAAAAGTTAGCGTCAATCTGGATGAAAGAACAGTGACCGTCACATCAAACTTATCGTCCGATGAACTCATGGAACAGCTGCGCAAGACTGGCAAATCGGTTTCGTACATCGGTGTGAAAAAATGAGACGAGTTTTTCAGCAAGTTTCAGAAATACGGCAAACTGAAACTTGAAGTTTAACTGAGCAAGCAATCCCCAAATGGATATTATCATTGCCGTGGCCGTTGATGTCATTGTCATTAAAAGTGGAACATCTGCAGTAAATCATTTAAAATACAGTGTGATGATGCACCCATACGTTCAATGAAATGAATGATATAATCAGCAATAATATTTATACATTTATCCAAATGATGAGAATGATATGAGGAACTTATCTACAAAGTTTGCATCTGAATTTACTCTTGCTCCAAATTTTAAGTAGTTGATTATTGAATTGTCGTAGCTCAAGAAGAAAATATATAGATTTAAAAAGTTATACAACATTAGGTTCAGAATTTAAAATTCAATTTCTAATAGCTAAGTAGTGAATGCAATTTATCAAATATTTGCCTTAATAAAATATTTAGAAATATTTTAAATATTTCCAATGTAGTTCAGCTAATCAATACATATATATGCCAATAACCTTCTTATGATATATCATAATTACAATATACATAAATATATACAAATTTTAACATTTTGCGATCTATAAGATTATAAATTATGAAATAAACAATTCGTTTCGCAAACCTTAACATTACTGAAACTATTAAATGAGTTGGAAGTCAGTCGTCTTGCCCAGTCTTAAAGTTACAAAGCAATCAGCTAATCTAATCAACGAGAGAAATGGATTATGCATGGATATTTTCTGATCAGACAATAGGCGTGTATCAACCTAGAACAGATGATAACGGTTCTTTAGCTTCTGTTGCAAGCTATCCCAATTGTACAATATATGAAAAAACAAAGAAAAAACAAGGCTTAGGTTTGTGCCCTGTGAAAAAGAGAATCCACTCAAATACGGGTACTTAGTCATGCTCGGAGCGCTATCCAAACGAATCAGCGACAAATATGAGACTAACGCTTTCCAATAACACTGACAGCAACACCAACAATAACAATAACAATAGAGACTCGAAACAACACACATGTCATAAATCTCAAGAACGACAACCCAAAGTTATCAAAATGTATTTTGAAACATGTTCAAGGCGTAACAAAATTATCAATCAAATGCCACATTGGCATGCAAAGAATGCAACACACACACTCGAACACACACACACACAACTCTAATTGAGTTTAGAGCTGGGCCGGGAAACGGAACGTTACGTTTGTGAGGTGGAGTCTTTGGAATTTGGTGTTGTTGTCGTCGACATCGTGGTTGGTGTCGCTACCTGCGTTATGCCTTTTGCTTTGTTGCGGTTGCATTTTGCGGCTCGTGTTGATTTATGCCCCATGCAGCGACACAGGAGGAACGGAACAGAGACCTAAGAAAGAACTAAGAAACCCAAACTCAAAGAGTCTGTAACGCAGGTGAGTACCCAAAACAGCAATCACTGCGCTGCTGTCACAATAAACGTCAGCGACACAGTCACGTCCTTGCTCAATGATGATTTTCAAGTGATGCAAGAGATTTTTTTTAGAGATTACCACTGCAGGTCTGCGGCTGTCCGAGCCGTGTAGGTAAAAGCAAATTATTAGAGCTAATGCAGTTCAAATTACATCAGACAAATAACAGCTGGTGCCTCCTCTGTGGCCCTTAACTTTGCCACACCATAACTGGGTAGGATTCCTGGTTGATAATGTGTAATTATCAACTAGTTACTGGCTCGACTTTGATTTGAGAAATCGCAAATTAAATTCACAGCCAATGTTAAATTAAATTTTCATTGGTCTTCGATTGCCAAAGCTATAACTTTTATGCATTACAAATTGTTTATTTAATTTTAGTAATTAGCATTCACTCATTCAATGTCTGTTTATAATAAGTTAATAATTATCATCGTAAGTCTCTCTTTTATGTGTGTTCGTCAGCTGCCTTCAAATGCACTTCTTGCAGCCGTCATTCTTTTGCACACACTTACAGGCGATGTGCATACTTCGTTTGTCATTAAGTTTGCAATTCTGACTGTGAAAATTATTTCATATACACGAAATTTCGAAGTTTTTGATGTTTATCTGCGCATAACAAGTAAGTCAGATCTCATATAAAATTTCATTTGATAGATTCAACGTTTTATCTGAAGTAGAGCATGTCAGCATCGTCGTTGATTTTGCGCAATCTTGGGAATGGAAGTTTTTTTTTGTTTTTTTTTTTTCGTTTTTGTTTTGTTTTTGGTGTTTGCACACTTGGTACATTGAAAACATTCCAAAAATTGCTGGCTAAATTCTTTGGCGCATGCTTTTCAGCAAGTCTTAACCAGTTGGCTGCCAGTTGATCAAGTGACTGCCCTGGCGTTCGGTTTGGGTTCGGTACGCGATTGGGGCATTGGCAGGAGCAGAGCACTGAGCACAGAGCACCGAGCACGGACCGCGACTGGTTTCCACTTTGCGGCTGCTTCAAGCAATATATATATATATATGTATGTATAAGTATATATGTATATATATAAAAAAGGCAGGGGAAAAATGCCGCGATCGCAGTCGCCGCGCAGCTCTTTATTGTCGCAAGATTTGAAAAGAACCGACAGTCAGAACAATGGCACACTAAACTAAACCAAGCTGAGCCGAGCAACGGCCAGGCCAATAAATTCAAAATAAGTTGAGACTTGAGACGGTGCCAATACAAATCGTTGAAACTCTGCACACACACGACAAGGTCGTTTCATTGCCTCAATATCTTTCTCTCTCCCCCCTCCCATGTTTCTCTCTCCCTAACTCAATCACTCATTGATTTGGCAGGCGCGGTTCATTGAACCAGCGACTCCTACACCACAAAATCTAAATCCTGAGCAAACAATAACAAAAAAAAAAAAATGCACATTTGGCAACTGCCAACTGGAAACAGTAGCCAATATTTTTACGCCAAATGTGCCAACTGTTGGGGATCGTGGCAGAGAGCGAACGAGCGCTGCGAAACCTGTCGCCGTCGCCATGGACATTCCTGGGCGGCGGGTTGAGGTCGAGCGTGTGCCAAGCCCACGACAACAGCGACAACAACGACGGCAACCGCGACAACCGAGCAATATAGCCACGTCTGGTCATAACAAGAGCAAAAATGCAAAGCGTAAATAACTCATAGATAATAATGCCCATGCATTTGGCGAGTCAGAGGCAATTGCAATGCAAGCAAAACAAAAGACTTAGGACACGAACTTACCAAAGGAGCCACAACGAACAACGAGACTCGAGTCATGTAACAGCAGCCGTCGCAGCAGCAGCACCAGCAGCAGCAGTAAATTTGGCTCAGAAACAAGATCAACTGGTTTCAAGCAGCAACAAACTACAAGAAAGAAAAGCAAAAAAAAAAACTCACTCAAAATGTTGAGTGCTCAAGACCTGTTGAGAGACCCAAGCACAAAACCCATTGTTGGTCTATTGCGCGTGCCGTGGTGCTGTAAAATACTTTTTCCCAAAGAAGTTTCAGTTGTGTTTTTGACTTTTCGTCGTGCAGAACGATTCTTCTCTCTACGTGCGTAACACCCGACGCCAAAAACGCTGGAGCCGCGGGCGTTTTGTCGATGTATGTGTGACGTGTGTGCGAGTGTGCGAGTGTATATGTGTGTGTAAGAGTGTGTAATATTCGCGAAAAGTTGTTTTCGCTACTTCTCATACCGCTGTATGCTTAGTATGTATATCTATACCTATGTGTGTGCTTACAAACATCATTGTATATAAAGTCAATTTTCCTGTTAACGAAACCTGCCAAAACTGCAGCAGCAGCAAAAGCAACAGCAACAGCAGCAACAACAACAACAAATATGCATGCAACATAAATAAATTTTGGTGTTGAGTGTGAGTTTGTGATGTGCTAAATGCTAAATGTTTAGCAGATCAAAGTATGTACTCGTTAATATGCAAATGCAAAGTGTTACGCGTATAATTGTTTATCGAGTACGCGCATTTAGGTGAAAGTAAAGCAATTTGTTTAATTAATTGCTGGCAAGTGTCTTTCTGAAGTCAGCAGATTTGTGTGTCAAGTTTAAGTTAACGTCTCGCATTAACTTACGGATTTGTTAAGAAGTGCCAGTGACAGTGTGAATATAACTGAAAGCGGTTTCTTTTCATATATGCGATATTTCTTTTGGATAATCAGTGCAGCAAGCAACCATTGCGAGAGTTAAGTTATTGGATTGCTGCTACCTGAAGGAACTGAATGGATTAAACTGTTGGCGGTGAGTGAAAATAGTAGATAAATATCTAAAGAGAAAATAATGTTTTTGTATATTTCTAATGGTACAATGCTTAGATTACAGATTGTGATAAGCGATCCAACGTTTCTGTAATAATAACGCTTTTAGTATGTAATTAGGAATATAAAGATTATCACGGAAAGAAAGTTTAACCTCTTAAAAAACTTATTTTGTTGGGTGTGCAATTCGATTAGCTGTGCAAGAATACCATATCGGATCATATATGCGTAAGCATACACATATGCAGCATAGGAGCCACTTAAGCGGTAATAAACACCAAATACACAAAACATTTGTGCAGTTTTTCGCATATATTAAGTCAAGTAGCAAATTGGCTTCCACACCTAAATATCCATGACTAATGAGTTAATTCTTAGTCTAATTTTATGAAATGTGAATGTGCTTACTGCTTGGGAGCAATGTGTAGGTCAAATTTGAATATATTTATGCAAATGTGGAAGCTTACAACAGTTTAAAAGTTTTGCATTAGTCGAAACCCAGATCTATGTTTTTGATAGAATTTGTTCTGACAATTTATGCGAAGTTTAAGCAAAAAAAGAAAATCGAATCTTTGACAATATGGCCAAGCCGCCTTTTTGGCAGTAAGTAGAAAATATGTCGTGTATCTGAAAGATACTTTTGCTCTTTTTGCTGTTCTGTTTTTAAGTGGAACACAAACAAGCTCTCAAATAGTCAGCAACACAAAGACATATATTCATATAAATGAGTGCCCACAACAGATGGTAAACTATTTTTATTGACTTTAGCTTGACACCTTTGCGCTTTTGTTTACGATCGCGACCCATGGGAGAGAACTGTTTTTTAAGTATAGTCATGTAAAATATGTTAAAAACAGGAAAAACAACATCAAGTCTTAAGAAAACGATGTTTAAATAAGCTATTTAAAGAATTTTTATATGCAAATCGAATTTACCTATATAAACATAAGACAATATAGAAAAGAAAGAGAAATTTCAATAAATTAAGTGCGTATTTCACGCATAGAATAAGCTCAATTCCATTCTGTTTAACATGCGCATAAAAGTGTGCTAAGTGAATTCAATGGCTTATTTTTTAACTTATCTGAAGTGTAATATTATATTTTAATAACTTTGACCAATGAGTGAGGTCAGTTTAATATATATTCAATTGAATATTCTAGTAAATTATGGTCAAAAACTCAACTGGTCCAGCTGCCCATTTGAGTTTTCGTGTCTTGTCCACAAGCAGGGCTGGAGTGGGGAGACCCAAATTAAAAAACACTCGTGCCGACACACCTGAGAGTCAACCAAGTGACTCAACAGCGAGCAAATCAATATGAGATCATTTTATAGGGCCGCAATCAAAGCGAAAGGGGAAAAAAATAACATACACCTTTGTCAGCTCCAAACAAAGATCAC